GCATCCTCGGAAACAGTTTCCTCAGAGTCTTCAGGACCACGGACTGCCTCATCAGCAATGGGATCATGCTTGGTTTCCTCGACGGTGTTCATGGTAACATTGTTGCCGGATTCTTCGGTAATAGAAGGGCTACGGCCAAAGGCCTCACGAAACTTTTCGAGCACGGCCATAGTGATAGACCGACCTATCGAGAAGGCAGAAGAGATGATCGAGCGGGTAAAGCCAAGGAGGACAAGTCAAGGACAAGAAAACTGGGATTTCTTGGCCCTTATACCCAGGCGAACCCAGCTAGCTACGAGTGGCGGAGGACTAGTGTTGACAGGCCCACGCACAGATTGATAACCCCGAAGTCGGCTGCGGCGGCCGCAGCGGCCGCATCTGAAATCTTGAATCGAAGGGTGGCTAGGTTCGAGCGCAACTGGAGACCACTGGATCCCTGGAGACGAGCCAATCTAATCAGATGATGGCGCTGTCCTGCGCATTCCCCTATCTGACCGAACCAATGGCGGTCGTAGGCTGGTGATGATGCCCTACAAGGTCTACGTAACTATTCTAGCACAGGTGCAGAGATTGTTAGCGCCAACAGTTAGTCTGGCGATGGTGTGTAGTCTAACTAGCTGATTCGCAGCGTGTGCTTGTCCGGAAGACACGATGTGAGGCACGATAAAAATCCGTGATCTCCACCCGGAGATGAGGAGTGGGCACTGTATGACTGGCATGTTTTCCTGCGATCCACTCAAGGCACCGGTAATCTCTGCGTCTTTTTACCTGATCGATAGCTCCAAGGTCTCTAGACTAGACAGTAGACAGAGTCAAGGAGTGGGAGGCACCCACATCCGGGTCGAGCTGAGTCGTCTGATGATGCTGGATCGGGTCAACATCCCAATTCGGTGCCCACTCGCGGTATGGATACTAAGAGAATACTTGTATGAACCGTACGATACTGCTTACTGTATGGTCACAGCGGTCACCGGGAAAATGTTAACTAACGGACCCACTCTCATCACACAATTCAATTTCCCCTGGCGGCCACCGGAAAAACGAGCCTGGAGACCGTGGACGAAATACGGCTAGTCCGTGACTAAATCTAATCTGATCCATGATAAGATGCGAATGCCATCAACACCCGTTGTTGAGGGGTTTTCATTTTTCTCACAAGTCCAGTGGGTACTAAATTAGGCGATGGGGTACATTAAACTATTATTCCATGGTTCTTGTCTCCAAGTAGGTCGAAGGAAGTTCTTCACGAGTAATTCGAGGCCAGGACACGGCTGGAAAATTCTGCAGCATGAGTGGCTCCATCGGGTTCTTCCGCCGAATAATGAGCGAGCTACAAAGTACAACGCCAGATGATCCGGACGCCCCTTGCCGAACAGGCACACAACGCCGGCTGGCTATCTGATTGCGGAGTAATCCGCAGACCGTACGTGAAAATCCCCCTCTTCTGTCTCACAACTTGGAGTTGATCCATTGTGGCGACCGTTTCTCTACAAACGCTCGAATACCTTCGGCAAAATTAGCTCCCTCCACCAGGCGCGGGTACGAGTGTTCCGCCAGCGTCGACACCGCATCCTCCACGCTACCGGCCTCCCAGCTCAACCGGATACCCTCGCGGCCAACAATGAGCGCATCCGGACTGTTGTTGCACATGACGCCGGCGATCTGAAGAGCTGCCTGTGCAACATCGTCACCAATATCAACCAACCGAGTCACCAGCCCCCAATCGTAGAGTGTCCTTGCGTCCACGCTGCGGCCAGTCAAGGCAAGGTCCATCGTGCGCTGCAACCCCAATGTCCGGGTCAGGCGTGGCAGGCAGCCGGCCACAGGCACAATTCCTCGCTTAACTTCCGGCAGCGCAAAGATGGCAGACACCGAGGCGATTGCGATGTCGCAATTTGCTACCATTTCAAACCCGCCCCCCATGCAAATACCATTGACCGCTGCGATGATGGGTTTCTTGCCGCTTCGTCGGGGCAGGCCTGCTAGTCCGGGCGGGGACATGTCGTTGACAACTCCAGCTTCGTTCATAGCATTCCACTCTACCCAATTTAATAAGTAAGCAATCATGTCAGAGTACAGAGGTATGTGAGAGCATAGGAAATAAATATACCTTGTAAATCCGCGCCAGTGCAAAAGGCTCTCCCTGTACCAGTAATAATACCCACCCACAAGCTCTCATCCTGGTCGAACAGCTCCCAGACTTTTTGGATCTCTCGACTTGTACCCAGATCAAGAGAATTGAGCTTTTTGGGGCGATTTAAGGTCACCTGAACCACACGCTCGTGGGGAAACGAGACATGGAAATTTGGATGCTGTATGGAATGCGATCGGAGTGACATGGTCGAGGATGTGAATGATTGATAGGCTTATCTGATCGCGGGACAGCCGGACCAGCTCGCGCTACTTTTATACTTTTGTAAAGGACTATGCTGGGGTCCAGAATGCGGCATAATATGCGATATCGGTGGGCCCAAGACCGTGCCAAAGGGGGGTCGAGAGCAACCAAGGACGGGCCATTGGCGGACACCCACCTGAGACACCTTCCAAGCTCGTTATCTGTCTTCCTCGGTTGTTCTGTCTAAATTGCCCGGCTTTCTATATAACCGTTTGCCTCGGTCGCAGCGCTCCAATTTCATTTCCTCCTTTCCTCTTAAATCGCCCCTTGTCTCTCTTCTCTCCATTGTCTTCATTAGACATTTCACAGCGAGCGAGGATGAGTCCCAATACTACTGCTAGCTCCCAGTACCCACTGGTGAAGCTTCCTCATCCCTTTCTGACCGCATACCGCGTGCGCACCGTTGCCGAAGCCGAAACGTCACCAGCCAAACTCAGCTTGACTTTTCATGATCAGCCCCCAGCCGGCCGATCCCCCCCTCAGCCTCTACACCTCGACTCTCTTTCGTGGCTTGAATTAGCACCCCCTTCCCCGAATACTTGTCCTCCCCCTTCAAACAACACAGCCTGGGCACGAGCCCGTCGCGCACCCAAAACCACATTCCAATGGACTGAGACCACACCGACATTGGGGCAGATTTGGAACGTTGTCCATGCTATATACCTTGCCCATCCAACCCATGAATACTTCAGCTTGGCCCTGTCCGGCGCAGGCCAGGATGTCCTTCGCACTGAGCTCCTCGCGACCGGACTTGGAATTGAGCATCCTAAGGCCACACGGCCTGATGACCGCGCAGTCCAGCCTTCTACCGACCTATTGATCCTCCGCAGTTCTTTCTGGCAAGGCGCCGCGTCACCAATGGGCCCGCGTCCCATCTGGGTGGTGGGTGACGGCACCGATGGCTCTCTGCGAGAGCCTTTATCGCAATACCCACCCATGCCGGAGAACTATCACTTCACGCAGAAGTTTCCCGAGGAGCCTATTTATGCCAGACACCCGATCCGGCGGCCCAAGCCAGCTCCTGGCTCGATTGCCTACAGTCGCTATATCCCCGAATTGGATGAGCACTTCTCTCTGGAAGTTGTAGATTGGCAGGATCCAAGCCATTTGCAGCTCTTTAATACCTGGCAGAATGATCCCCGTGTGGCAAAGGGATGGAATGAGACAGGTACACTGGATGAACACCGCGAGTACCTCCGGAAGTTGCACGTTGATCCGCATGTACTTTGCTTGTTTGGGCGCTTCAATGAGACAAGATTCTCGTACTACGAGCTCTACTGGTCTAAGGTATACTATTGTCCCCTGATTGTCCCATGGTTGTGTTTTTGACAGCTGCTAACACTGGGATAGGAGGACCATTATGGTGCGCATTATGACGCCCATGACTACGATCGTGGAAGGCATTCATTGGTGGGCGATGCGTCCTTCCGTGGCGCGAAGCGGGTCAACGCGTGGTATTCGAGTTGCATCCACTACTGCTTCCTGGATGAGCCAAGGACGGTGAACGTGGTGGGTGAGCCACGCGCAACAGGAGCAACGATTCTGTCGTATGAGAATGCGCAGGGTCTGACGATCGGCAAGTACGTCGACCTGGGCCACAAACGGTCAGTTCATTCCATTTGCAGCCGCGAGAAGTGGTTCCAGCTGTGCCCGATATTCTGGGATGGGCGTGAGCGACCGTTGGAATCGGCCGACCGTGCAGCGTGGAATGCCAAGCTGTGAACTGCTTGGTCTGCATCAACGAGAAATGAAAATACGTACTGGCCGGACATGTCCCGGAGACTATTCCTCCAGTGGAAGCGAGGGCCCCACCGCTGCACTAGTATCTAACCCTAGATAGCAATCTTTCAATACCATACTGTACATTATTCATTTGCTCTGGTCTCCACTTCAATACCGGTCACTTTTCCGTCGTATCCGGCCGCATCGCTGTCGACCACACCACCCCGGAGGAAATATTGGAGTCACCCTGCAAGCTGGCCAACATCCACAATACCATAATAGCACTGCTCGAGAGACCTAAGATAGATGTTTGCACTAAACGGCAACCAGACGTCAGACTGACTGAAGAGGCACTAGTAGGTTGTGTGGTTGTTCGTGTGCAAGCCTTAGTAGCTATATATATCATCTTTGAGAGTCGACGAGTGTGCGTTGAACGTACTTAGTACTAGTAATGTCTTCAACACAGACTGGGCAATCCATTGTGTTTGCGTGAGTGCCTGGCTTGTATCTTGATATCTCTATTACTATCTACCATCATATATACATCAACGTAGACATCCGATGTGGATACAGGCTTCCTGTGCATAACCCACTCGAACCATCACCAGCTTAATTGCCCCCGTAGTGCGGATAGACATAAGGCGAGGCAAGCAACAGAACTGTTGCTACCAGGCCATATTTCACCCAGTCCCGTCTAGCCCGCAGGCCGGTCGAGTCCTGCGTAGGATATCTATACCCAGTCTCAAGCTGATTGGCAGCATTCCATGTCTCGTGGAACTGCTGCTTCTCCGACAAAGCACAAGGTTCATCGGGCGTACCACTTTCAGAAGGTCAGAAAATCCCAACACACATCATCGTACACGAAGAAAGAAAAAAAGGTGTATTACTCGTTAACCACTGTCTTCAAATGTCCCATGACCTTTTCCACAAGGAATCGTCTTGGCTCTGCCTGATCATCGTTACTGAGGGCATGCGACGCGTTCGGAATGACGGCAGTGTGCTCATCATCCCAGATCTCTTCACCCTCGGCACATCCAGCGTTTGCGATCCCCCGCCACTTCCTCAACAATGCCTCCTTATCCACCCAGTCAGGAACACTCTGATCCTTACCCGAGTATAGCACCATCAACTTCGCCTTCTCTGCCAACAAGCCGCCGCTCTTTACCTTCCCGAAGGTCTTCTGCAACTGCTCCGGCCCCAAGTCCGAACTGAACATGTCGTCCTCCCCAGGATTACCCGGAGCATCTGGACTCACTAAACTCAACAGCCGCCTCGCCGACAACGGTGTGTTAGCCGGATAGGCGAAGCTAGTCAATTCAATCGGCAGAATCACATCAAACTCTCCACCCTCCCTGATTCTCTTCTCCTCTGCCTCCTTTGCCATGTTCACCAGCTTCTCATAGACCGCTTTACACTCCGGGGAAGATCTGCCTCCAAACCCATTCTCCAACACCCACAATATCGCCTCGCGATCCGACACAGGTGCTTGCATGATAGCTCCGTCCAGCGGTAACCGTTCCACATGCTCCAAGTACTTATCAAAAGGCGGTTTGGTGGTATGGGGGTTCGGCCGCGTTAGGTAATGCATGACGCATTGGCTGCCGGTGGAGTGTCCCATCAAGACGATCTTGCTGCTAGCTGCAGAGGCAGAACCGTATTTATCCGCTTTGTAGTCTTTGATGTAGCGGATACATTGGGCAATTTCGTCGGTATCGCGGTCCAGATGGCCCAGGCCCCAGGATTGGTAGGAGGATGTGAGGTTCAGGGTGAAGAGGGACCAGGGAGTGGAATGGAGGGCACGGGCTAGGTCGGCCATGTAGGATGTTGTGGCGAGGCCATCGCCGAGGCCGCCGACGAAGAGGAGGGTGTGAGGTTGGGAGAGGGAGGGGGTAGTGGTAGTATATTCGAAGGTTACGAGTGTTTCTGTCTATTATTAAGAGAATGTTGTGTTAGTTTGGTCGGCTGGGAGTCGAAGGGGTTAGGACTGGACATACGAAGTGGTGGAGGATTCCCGGAAGGCCGCCCTTGGGCCAGAATTTGGAGTACATATTTGCTTGTTGTGAAGTGATTATATGCGTATGGGTTTAGTGATGATGTGTAAGATGGAGTGCAGAATCAAGTAGAATATTGTGTGTAGAGTAGTAGGTGTGTGTAAAAGGTTGAGCCAAAAGTCCAGAAACAATCACTGCAGCTAGGCTTGGCTTATGTACTTTGTAATCTCTTATCTTTACGGCAGTTGACAGTGTGGCTATCACCGGAAACAAGTACTCCCGGGAATGGGGCTGTTTCAAGAATTTTGGGATGTTGAGGGTGCTGGTGGGGTTCATCAGATAATGAGTGAGACAAATTTGCCATGGATGTATGGTAAGCGGGTGACAGTCGGACACTGAAAGGGTATTTCTGAATACGCAGTATTTCGAAGGCGGTAATGGATGGTGTGTGGATACCTAGGCAGACCCTAAAGCGCTTGTCGTATTCTTGATCCACCGGCGGATAAAAGAAATCATTCGAGAGAAAGCGAGATGTCTCCGGCGGTTGTAGCCGTCGGTATATGCAAGATGCGGTGATGCCTTAGTTGTCGCGATGCCAACCTGCATACTGGAAGCGACATAGACGGAGGCCCGTAACTACCTCAGCTATTCCTGAGCTTTACAGTAATCTCTCTATATATCAATAGGTATTTTGTTTATTGTTCTTCTTCGGTCAATATTTTATAATGATACAACAGAGGCCAATATACAAATATTGGGGAGTCGCTGGACACCGTCTGCAAGCTATAGCTGCCTGGTTATCCTACATTAGCTGAAACTTTCCTACGTGCGACACCAACCCAAGTCAGTATTTGAATCCGAGCAAATGCCACGTGCGAGACGAGTGGACTCTGATTGTGGGCTAGAGGTTCCTCAGAGCCGAAACCTTCTACTTTGAGGTCTCATTTGATTCTCCTACTCCAAACTCCATACTCCGTAAATCAACGGATTATCAGATTAGATCAGATACTCGGCGATAACACTCATTTGGGCTAGGCAGTGCGATTATCATACGACTCGGAAACTGGTGGCATAAATTAGATACCAAAAGAATAGTCTCAGACGTTACTACCAGTATAGCTTGAGCAAAGAGAAAAGTAACAAGAATGGGGGAAATAGAACTAAAAACGAAAAAAAAAAAAAAAAAAAGAAATATGGTGCGCAGCGCACTGTGCAGAACCCAGTTGCCACTCCCCTGCATCAAGCTGCGCTGTAGCTTGATTAGAATATCCCACTGAATGAGAGTATCTGCATCTCCCATGGCTCGGAGAATTAATTCGTATGAGGGATTAATCACGACAATCCTGCCTCCTCACCCAAACTAACCTGTTTCGGATACCTTAACCAGCTAAATTCCTGGTCGTCTGCGGACCTGCAGCTATCTGATCTGATTAGTTTTATCAATCACCAACCCCACTTGTCACATACTAGCGTTCTTACTAGCGCTCTTTACACTTACTAGCTCATATACATTTCTTACATACACCACAAACGACCTGTTATCCATCACCCCCACTCAACGACAAATATCCTGATAACTGGACCCACAGGTCGCTCATTTTCCGACAGGCCTATGTAACAGTACACAGTAACTAGGCTAGTCAAGAAGACAATAAACAATTAACCAATTCTATGACTCATTTTAATTCATCGCTGCAAATTACGTAGTATAACCCTTACCTAAGTTCCAATCCTCGCAAAAGACCGGATCCTACCAAACAACTTAGATCAGATAACTTTTTCCCAGTTACACTTCTCACGCCTGCGGCCTAAATCATGTCATGCCGTGTCTCACTAATTCTCGGCTAGACGCTTGGCGTACGTGGTCTGTGCAAAATTCTTTTGCCCGGTAAACTTTCACAAGCCGGCTTGTCTGTCCGTTGGTGCCCGTTTGATCTCGTGTTCCAGTGCTGCAAACTGCAGTATACCCGCAGCCGTGGTGGATTCCACCGCCGATCTCGGTAGTATCATAATAAATGATGATAATCTTAGGACTTGGGGGGGGGTGTTGTAAAACTTCACGGGATGTTCGGAAGAGGGTCAGTAGTAATCTGATCCGTTGGTGTTTTCTGGGACCTCGGATCAGATAATAATAATATACATGGTGTCCACCTTCCGTGCGTTGGGCACTTATTGAACTTGTCCCTGGGTGAAATAATTGCATTGAGATTGAAGACATTCAGTGGTTCCTAATCACTTGCCCCTCTTTTTCCCCCCCCTCTCTCTTCTCGCCTCTCATTCTCCTCCCACGCAGCTGGACTGGATTTTACTGGACTGCCGAATGGGCAACACACACACTACAAGTCCGCAGGGACAAGAAGATTCACACGATATGGCAGGTGTACATACACTAGAGGCCGCCGGCCTGGGTGCCGATTCTACCCCCTCAGGAATGAAGGAAGAACTTCTCCTGGCTGCGTGGCTCATGGTGCTCTTGCGTACGAGAGAGGATGGTCAGGCGTCCTTTGAATGGGCCTACAAGGGCGACGAGCCCAGTCCAGCCAACCGCTGTCTGTCGACAGAGGTCATGGCCGACTTGCGAAGCAGTGTGGGGCAGACTGCTGCTGCAATTGCTCGCAAGAACACTACTACCCCCGAGACAGAGCCATCGAGGTCGCTTGCGCTGCTCCTCAGCACCAGCGCGCTGTCTCAGACTACTGAAGAGCCGAACGAGGTAAGCCGCGACCGCAACTTATACCGTCGTACCAACTATAAGAGAACCAGGCTAATGAGATAAACGCACAGGGCATCATCCACCTGGAAGCGCGCTATAATGCCAATAATCTCGAAATCAAGCCCGTTTGGCACTCCGAAGTCATTCTCCCGTATACCCTTACCCGCCACATCAACAGCCTCATCGACACAGTGCAACTGGTCCTCTCGAACCCCGATGCCACTATTGAAGAGTGCCTGCGTCCGACCCCCAGCGACATCTCTGACATTTGGTCATGGAACCACAAACTTCCCCCAGCATACGACTTCGGCATGCACGAAGTGATCTCGGAACAAGCGCGCAAAACTCCCGACAAGGTCGCAATCGACTCCTGGGACGGCAGTCTCACCTACGGCGTGATCGAGCGGTACTCGACGTATGTCGCGATGAAGATCCAGGAGATGGGCGCGCAACCGGAAGACTTCATCCCGGTGTGTTTCGAGAAGTCACGGTGGACCATTGTTGCCGTGTTGGCTGTCATGAAGGCTGGGTGCACGTTCGCGATGATGGACCCTACTCTCCCACTGGCTCGGCTACAGAATATGGCGAAGCAAGTGAATGCACGAACAATGATCTGCTCGTCCATGCAGCAGGACCTGTCGAGAGAGATCATCCAGGATGGAGGGTTGTTTGTTGTGGAGGAGGGTGCATTCCCGAATGTTCCGCCGCTGGAAGACACCCCAGCTTTACCCAAGGTTCCCTCAACCACCATTATGTACTTGATTTTCACTTCGGGAAGCACGGGGACTCCCAAGGGTGTCAAGGTGTCCCATGGTAGCTACACGAGTAGTGCGTTCCCACGCGCCAAGGCTGTCGGGTATGATGAGAATTCAAGGGTCCTCGATTTCGCATCGTACGCGTTCGATGTCAGTATTGACAGCATGCTTCTGACGCTTGGTAACAACGGTTGCCTTTGCATTCCGTCCGATGAGGACCGACTGAACGATATCAACGGCGTTATTCGCAATATGCGCGTCAACTATGCGGGTATCACCCCGTCCGTGGCCCGCATCTTAGAGCCGGATGTTATTGCGTCGCTCAGCGGGCTGGGATTGGGAGGTGAGGCTGCGTCGGCCCGCGATGTGACAGTCTGGGGTCAGGAGACGAGGATTATCATTGGATACGGACCGTGTGAGTGCACTATTGGATGCACGGTGAATAGCAGTGCAGCCACCGGGAGGGACTATATCTCCATTGGAACTGGTAATGGTGCGGCTATCTGGATTGTGAACCCTAATGACCATGATGAGCTGATGCCGGTTGGTGCGGTGGGTGAATTGTTGGTGGAGGGTCCAATTGTCGGCCAGGGCTACCTGAATGATCCCGAGAAGACGGCAGCGGCGTTTATTGAGGACCCGAAGTGGCTGGTGGCCGGCCATCAGGGCTACGCTGGTCGTCACGGAAGGATGTACAAGACTGGAGATCTCGGAATGTATGATCCGGATGGATCTGGAGGTATCGTTTTTGCGGGACGAAAGGATACCCAGGTTAAGCTGCGCGGACAGCGTGTCGAACTGGGAGAGATCGAGAGTCAGCTCAAGGCCAGACTGCCGTCAGAAGCCACGGTCATTGCGGAGGTGATTGTGCCACAGGGATCCGGCGGCCAGGCGACGCTGGTCGCCTTTGTTGCCTCTCAGGCCAGTAAGGGCATCGACAGCACTGAAGTCACCTCGGTAGAGCTTCCGGAGGAGCTGAGCAAGACACTATCTCAGGCCGATGCGGAGGTGAAGAAGGTATTGCCCCGATACATGGTGCCTACAGCATACATTCCCGTCAGTCATGTTCCGGTCTTGATCTCCGGCAAGACGGATCGTCGACGATTGCGTCAGTTTGGCACCACTGTTGACCTGCGCGAGCTGGACCAGGGTGCGGCGAGCACCGCCCATCGGGAGCTCACTGAACTGGAGCAGCGTCTGCGACAGGCCTGGAGTCAGACCTTGAAGGTTGACGCCGAGACCATCCGGCCAGACGACAACTTCTTTGCCCTGGGTGGTGACTCTTTGGCTGCGATGAGACTGGCATCAGTCTGTCGGGCGCAAGGCCTGGATCTGTCAGTCGCCAACACGTTTGGCCATCCTACTCTGTCTGCTATGGCCACTAAGGTCCTTATCTGCGATGTCGAGACCCAGACCGAGATTCCGCCATTCTCGTTGATCTCCCAAGCTGCCGAAAGCGCCTGTGAGGAGGCTGCTCAAGTATACGGGTTCGACAAAGCAGCCATCGAGGATATTTATCCCTGCACCCCAACGCAGGAGTCTCTTTTTACCTTCTCACTCAAGTCAGTCAAGGCATATGTTGCACAGAGACTGGCGTGCATTCCAGCCGACGTGGATCTCGATGCCTGGAAGCACGCCTGGGAGGAGGTCGTCTCAGCCATTCCAATCCTGCGAACCCGTCTGGCTCAGCTCCAAGAACCCGGCCTGCAGCAGGTCGTCCTCAAGGATGGAATTACCTGGAAGCACTCGACTGATCTAGCCCGGTACCTCGAGGAAGATCGTGATGAGAAGATGAACCTCGGAGAGAATCTTGCGCGTTATGCTATCATCGATCACCCCGCTGATGGCAAGCGATACATGGTCTGGACTGTCCACCATGTTCTCTACGATGGCTGGTCTGAACCCATCGTGCTGAAGAAGGTCAGCGAAGTTCTGCAGCGCCAGCAGCCCAAGGTGGAGGCTCAGATGCGGGACTTCGTCAAATATGTGCGTGACACCGACGAAGCCGCTATGGAGGAGTTCTGGCGTCGCGAACTGAAAGGCGCTGTCGGACCTCAGTTCCCGCGTCTGCCTTCGCGAGACTACCTGCCCATCCCAGATGGTATGATCGAACGGCACATCAACTTGGAGACGAATTCTGGGTCTCCTTTCACCATGGCTACCCTTATCCGGGCTGCTTGGGCACTCGTAGCGTCTCAGTACACCGGCAACGACGACGTTGTCTTTGGTGAGACGCTCACTGGTCGAGACATTCCGCTGGCGGGTGTTGAGAGCATTGTCGGTCCCTTGATTGCCACAGTTCCGGTGCGGATCCATATCAACCGCGCTAGCACCGTTGAATCGTACCTCCAGGCCGTGCAGCAAGGTATATTGTCTCGAACTCCGTACCAGCATATGGGTATGCAGAATATTCGTAAGGTCAGCCACGATGCCCAGCATGCCTGTGAAGCGCCCACCGGATTAGTTGTGCAGCCGGAGCCCGAGTACGCGGGCAGCGAGCTTGGTTTCGAGGTTGGGGACGTGGTGCGCGAAGCCCTTCATTTCAACCCTTACCCGCTCATGCTGGGCTGTGGTATCAAGAAGGGCGGCTTCCGCATCTGCGCCAGTTTTGACAGCAGTCTCGTCGAGATTTCGCAGATGGAGCGCATCCTTGCGCAGATCGAAGTTGCTTGCTCGCAGCTGAGCCAAGGTCTCACCCGGAGGATTGACGAGATCTCCTGTCTCCCAGAGGCTGAATTGAATCAGATCTGGCAATGGAACCAAATGGCCCCGCTGTCCTTGAATGATTCCTCAAAGAGACTTCGCGCCGAAGATGGCATCAAGGAAGGGTCTAAGTACCCTCCTGCTGTGGTTCCCTGGGTTTGTGATGCACGCAACCCATCCCTCCTCTCACCTATTGGCTGCGTTGGTGAGCTCTGGCTGGAAGGAGCTATTCTTGCTGGCGAGACGGTAGACTCCCCTGCGTGGCTTGTGTCGGGTAGTTCTGGGTACCCTGGTCGTACTGGACGGGTGCAGGCTACAGGAGACCTGGTTCAGTGGCGCGAGGATAGTAGCCTGGTGTTTGTGGGTCGAAAGGAGAATGTCGTGTCTGTAAAGGGACACGCTGTGAATGTTGCGGAGGTTGAAGCCCAGTTCACCAAAAATCTTCCTTCCACTGTTCGTGCTGCTGCGGCCGTGTCCCAGCCATCGTCTGAGCTGGAGCCCGAGTTGGTTGTCTTCATCGAGCAGCCAACTTCCATCCAAGATGGTCTGGAACTACTGCCTACACAACAGGAAATCCGCTGCGATGCGGACTCCCAAAGCTTTGAGGCAACTGTCTGTGCCTCGATCTCCGTCAGCTTGGCCGTGGCATTGAAGAAGCTCGACAAGTTCATCCACGACTCACTCCCATCCTACATGGCGCCCTTTGCCTACATTGTGGTGGACCGGGTGCCCAACCATAACATCCTCAACCAACTCGCCTCTAGCATTCCGCGCGACATGCTCGTTCAACTGAGGGATGCCTTCAAGCAGGCATTGGCCAAGGCCGCCGCGCAGACCAACCTGACACCTTCCGAGGCCATCCTCCGGTCCGCCTGGGCCGCCATCCTCAAGCTCAGTCCCGAACAAATCGACGTTGATGACAACTTCTTCCGCCTTGGCGGTGACTCTGTTCTTGCTATGAAGCTTGTGTCCAGCCTGCGTGCCCAAGGACACGGTCTGACCGTGGCCGACATCTTCCAGCGCATGCGTCTCGGGGATGCTGCCAAGGCGCTGCGGGTCGATGTTGTATCAAAGGAAGAGAAGGTCCAGCCTTACCGTTCCTTCTCGACTATTGGCCAGCAAGATAACCTGGAGCCCTTCTTGTCTGAGGTGATCCGTCCCAAGCTGGCGAACCCTGAGTGGTCTATTCGCGACGTCCTCCCAGTCACCGACATCCAAGCCCTCGATGTCCGCGGCACTGTCCAGGCACCGCGCACTTCCATCCAATACACCATGTTATACTTCGACCAGGACATCAACCGCGAACAACTGCACCGGGCCTGCCACGAGCTCGTCAGGGCACACGACATCCTGCGCACCGTCTTCGTCGAGCACGGCTCCAGCTTCGTCCAAGTTGTTCTCGATGATATCACAGCCCCCATGGCGATTCACGAAACCACATCCACTCTCGAAGACGAAGTCAACTCGCTCTGTAAGACACACTCCGAGACTGCCTTCCAGCTTGGCTCCTCTTTCACCCAATTCCTTCATATCGAACACACCCCGACCCAGCAATTCTGCCTCATCCTCGGTCTGTCTCACGCCCAATACGACGGCGTCTCTCTGCCCTTGCTCCTCCGCGACCTCGAAACCCTCTACACATCCGGCCAAATCCCCACCCCGACTCCCTTCTCCTCCTACATCTCACACACCCTCTCGCCGACTCCTCAGACCAAAGCCCTCACCTACTGGAAGAACCTCCTTCAAGGATCTACCCCTTCCATTCTCCCAAATCAACAACAAGCCCAACACCAAGGCTCAAGATCCATTTTCCACACCGCTCCCATCCCCCTTCCCTTCCCCTTCAACCTCGAAGGAATCACTACCGCCACCCTCCTCACCTCCTCCTGGGCGCTCCTCCTCGCCCGCCGTCTCCAAACCCAAGACATTACCTTCGCGACCGTCACCTCGGGCCGAACCCTCTCTTCCCTCCCCAGCCCAGATTCTATCGTCGGCTCCTGCTACCAGCTCACGCCCACCCGGGTCCAAATCCAACCCAGCTGGCAGGCAATGGACTTCCTGCGCGCCGTGCAATCGCAGGCTGCGGAATCTGCAGAGTATGATTTCCTGGGTCTAGACAAGATTGGCAATGCTCTGAACTGGGACAAGAGTGTTGGGTCTGTGGTTCATCACCAGGACTGGGATGATTTCGATGAGATGCCTTTTGCGGGAGGCAAGTGCAAGGTTGATATATTGAATCCGGATGGTGATGCGGCCGACCCGATGAAGGTTGTTTCATTTGTTAAGGAAGGTGTCATGCATGTTGGTGTTGTAGGTTGGGAGGGAGAGGAAACTGTTGTGGATGAGGTTTTGAATGAGTTGGTTGGTGTTGTTGGGGAATTGGTTGGTGGCGGTGAGGTGAGGGTTTGATTGTCTGACTTTTTTGTTATTTGCGTATGTTTGAATGTTGCATATATCATTTGGATAGAAATTTGAGTCTTTAGCAAAGTAGCTACGATAGTAAAATGGCTTTATTACTTTTATTACTTTTCTAGTCTGGATGATGTGGAGCCGGGGAGGAAGAGATCACGTAGGTATATGATGCCGCCATTTACGAGGTCGGTTGTGTACATTATGCTCATTGGTAGCGTTCAGCCTCGTTGGCGAACTGTCTCTCGAGTTCCATTGTTGATATATACATCCCAGACAAAGCCAGGCCTCTACCGAAACTATGTGACCTAAACTATGTCAAAAGACCCGTCGTGACAGGGCATTTAGTCCCACAATCAAACCAGGCTTTTGCAATAGTATCAGTCGACGTCCACCTTCCACAGCGCCGACGCATCAAACATCGTCTCCTCCATCCAACATCCCAACTCTTCCAACCCCAACACCTCTCTCAAGTACCGTCTTGCCAGCTCTCTCTGTCCGTTCGCCCGGCCCAGGTAAAACACTGCATCTTCCGCCGGGTTCGCATGTGCGGCCCGAATCTGCTGCGGCAAATGCTCCATCAAACTCAACAGCCAGCGCCCAAATGCGTTATTCAAGCTCACAGCCCATTCTGTAATCTCCGAATCATCGGCCGGAACAGACTCCGCACTAGCGCGCACGAGAAGCTGGAAGAACGTCATGTCATGCCGGGCGAACCGGACAGCCGTGCGAAAATGTTCTGCGGGAAGGACGTAAGGAACAGCAGAAGTTGGATTGAGGGACTGGTTCTCGCTGCGGAAGTGGTATTCATCGATCTTGAGGAGGGTGGATAAAGCGGCTGTGTTGTTTTCGATGAGGGCGTTGTGGATGCCGATTTTCAGGGATTCAAGGGACACAGAGACCGTCGGTTTGACGAGGTCGGCGCGGTTCAAACCGCTGGCTATGCGGAGGAGTTCGAGATAGGTGACGTGATCAGGGCTAGAGAGGTCTTCGACGAGTTTATCGGGGATAAGAAGAACGCCTAGGACGGGGTAGGTCGTTGATTGGTTGGTTTCATGGTGGGTGATTGTTACTGAGACTAGGGGTGCTACAGTAAGGGTATAGTGATTGGCTCCGTTGCTGTCGGTTCCTTCGAAGACCCGAGTGTCTTCTTTCTGAGCGAGGAATCGGGTCAATGATTCTTGATCATGTGGGACCATGCTGATTCCTGCACCGAACCAGTGTCGTTGAATGGTGAGGTTCATAAGGTCCGGCAGCTGCGCCAGAAGCCGCTGTATTGTGCACCATTTGCAGCGAAGGATGGTGTCCTGGAGGTGTCTCCGCTCCGCATGGCTGAGAGGGTGGTAATCGACAGGTCGGAGAATCCTGGATATTGCGGCCTCTGAGGACTGACATCTAACTTCTGTAGTAGCAGACGAGTCATCCCAAAACGCCAACAGGATCAACGCTCTGTATATGCGCTCACTCGAAACGGTTGCGCCTAGGGCTGAGGAACAGCGAGCGAAGTTCACATTAAGAGAATATAGGAAGATCTTCTCAATCAACTCGACGGGGAGAGATTCCAGGATCGATTGCCGGGGTTTGGTGGGTTTGACGACGAGTAGACGAGCTCGTTTGTGGCTTCGCGCCTGAGATGATTCGAGCTTTGTCTGGTGAGATATCATGGGTCGCCCACCCTTGGGTCCACTGGGTTTTGGTTTGAGGGCTCCATCATCAGGGCATTTTCTCCTGCGACCGCGAACCCGTATGGGCGTGAGCATACCCGGCTAAGTATTTTCAGCTGCACTGCTTGGTGTGCTTCATCCATCCATATCTAGTGACTTGCTTAAGCATGGAAGAGAGCTTGGAAAGTCGAGGCATCGGAAATTGTTCTGGAACAGAGGCCCCGGTCCTACTTTGATCCGATCATTCCCCTCCCGAAGTAAGATAAATACTCCGTGCAGGTACCGGCTTATGGCTTCAAGCTACAATTGGGCATGACCCATGGATGGCAACTCAGGGACCACTGGGCTGCGATGAAAGGAACCAGAGAGGTCTTGGGGAAGAAGAGAGTATATTCTGAACGTGATCACATGGCTTCACCGCCAAAATTTACTGTACAGTTTTGAGAGAAGGCTAGTAGAATACACCGCTAGTGAAGGTTACGGGGGGTGACGAATAGTTCGAGACGTGTGCCAGGCAGATCCGATATGCCAGAGGAAAGGAAGTAGGGTAGCCCCTAGGTCATCCCATCACAGCCCGTCACAATATCGTTGCTTCAAGACAACGAAGCGCCTGCACCTAACTCAGCGGCTCGAACAGGTCAAAAAGTCCGCAATGAATTGAATGGTTACATTCAGACGCTGACTCACTGATATGTTGCCTCGTAGGCTGGAATAGTGGTTGACGACGCCACATTTCGACCCCCGATAAGAAGGCAGTGACGTTACGTCCGTATGCTGGTGGATATTGGTCTTGATCAGCCCCGTCAACACAATCCTCCTAGTCTGATTTGCATCCATCAGTTCAATCATTTCTTCTTCTTTTCGAGATCCTTAATAAGCCTCGAGACATCCTCCGCATCAGAACTAAGTTCTAGGCGGTTGTAAAGATCCTTGGCCTCATAATAATACTTCAGTGCCTCCTCTGGTTTATTATGGAACACTGCCAACTGTCCCAGCATAACCTTAGCCGACGCACAGCTGTAATCGCACTCCACAGAATCTTCGGAAGGTTCGACCTTCTCAGCCCTCTCAATCGCACCCTGAGCCCACTTGCGTGCGGCCTCGATAGCCTCAGCACGCGAAACACCAGGGTCGGACGATGGTGCGACACCGTCTAGAGCTGGGTAGCCAATACAGCCACTGATGTTGTACATGAGGGTGACCTGCTTGCATGATGGAACCCCGCCTTCATTGGCATTGATGAGATCAAAGGCGCGCAGATACAACGGCAAAGAAAGGTCCAACTTCCCCTTGGAGGCATAGTGTTGGCCCAACTCGGATAGAGCGGTTCCGATCTCAGTTAGAGTCAACCAGTTGCCACCGCCGATGGGGACCTTGGCTTGGTGTCGACGTTGCACTTCGCCGAGGGATAGTTGAACAGCAAATTCGAGCGCCTCTTCGGCCTTTTTGTCATCCTGGACATGATCACTCTTATATAGTTCCGCGAGCTTTACGGACATACCCACAACCTTGGCGAGAGTCTTCTCTACTTGTTCATATTCATAGATCTCCGCCTGCTTCATCTTCTCGTATGACTCTGCAATGGCGGGGTCAACCTTCATCGGCTCAGCGGCCAATTCGCCTTTCTCTGCAGAGGGCCCGCGGGCAAAGAAATAATCGCTTTCCCCCTTTTTGAATGCCTCTGTTTCCATATTCGTCTTCACCCAGTGATATGCATCTGCTCGTGTCTTCTCCAAGACTTGGATAGCAGCTGGTACTAGCCCCGCCATCTCTAGACACTTGGTTACCTGCAACCTGATTCCCATCACTTCGTCCGAGTAAGGGTGCATTTGCAGTTCCGCTGCTAACTTGATTGCCTCGCTGTATGCGTCGATAGCCTTGACGGGATTCAGCTTCACGTCGGTATAGTAGATTGCTGTACGGAGACGTTCTGCAACCGGTGGCGGGAACTTGTGGTATTGCGGGCCGACTTCTGTGGCTTCCTTGTAGGCGATGTAGCTAAAGATTGCGGTTGCGGTGGCGACGGAGAGGAGTGCGAGGGGAAGGAGAATGGGGTTATTGCGCCAAATGCCACGGGAAGCTTCCTGGTAACCGCGCTTCATCTTCTGCGCGAAGGAGAGGGGACGAGTCTGGATGGTGGTGGCTTGGACGGTTCGTAGGAGAGATGTAGGAGCAGCACCGGTCGGCCGTGAACGGAGAATGGAGGGTATTGTGCGTGTCGAGAATGACGAGGATGAGAATGCATGTTGATGATGGCGATGTGCAAGGGTCCTTGGAATGGCGACAGCGCGCCGGGATGCTGCGCCTAACATTGTGGGATGTGTATCAAAACTTTCAGGTTGATAGCACCGAGCTATTCCTTAGTTGTTGTACGGACAAGACAAGAGACTCTGGAGCTGCGGAATGCGGAAGCGGGACGGACAATGGATAGTCCGATTGGATCATCCCAGCTTCATGGCCGTCATAGTCACGTGCAAAGGGGTCGTGTCATTTGAGCTCTCGCACGGAGGTCGTTTGACCTACAATTTATTTGTATTGATTGGCATATTTCTGGCCGCGACTACTGAGCCTCCGGGTCAGTGGACCAGTCCTTCATGTGGACCTATTGAAAAAATATTCCCCCATTTCCCTCCCCCCTTTTCCCCCTAACAGCCATCGATTGCCTCAAGTCTGCAACTTTTGAAAAGTGAAAGACTGTACATCCCCGAGTATCCGCATAAGGATGGCCAAATCCGCCAGGCGAGGCCCCAAGGGCAAGGCCTCAGTTACTCCCTCCGCAACCTCGTCGGGAACTTCTACTCCTGGCTCGCAAACTGGCCCTATCCCTCCGTTCGTTCGAGCGCCGGAATCTTTGAAACCGCTGCTCGACTCGCTTTCTCCGCGGGAAGTCTACCTTATCCACGTCGATACCTGCCCAGTGGACATCAAGAAACAAACCTTCATCGTTCCTTGTGCAATCAATGCCATCGTTGTCGGTCTCCTCGCTCTCCGAGTCTACATGGTCCGCAACATGTATCCCGCCATGATAGCAGCGCTGGTCGGGATGAACAACTCTATGACGGTGGACACAACGACAATGGACTGGACCGAAGTTTTCATGGTGGCTCTACGTCGCATAGGAACTGTTCTTTTTGATTACTTCCTGTTTACTATGTTCCTGGCCTGGCCTATCCGCTTCCTCTTCGGGGCAGTCAGATGGCGACGCAACATCGGCTTCCAGCCACACGAGATTATTGTTCGGCGAAGCCAACCTGACATGACTGAGGGTCTCAAACGTGATCGCTGGATCCGTGAAGACGAGGAAACACGAGATAAGATCGTTGCGGCGGTCACGCCGGAGCGTATCAGAAAGACGGGATACCTGCTTATAGATCAGGACTTCGACCTCGATTACAACGCCATGATTAAGGCTCACGAGATGGTCGATAATCCGAAATCGGACGATAAGGTCTCATTGGAAGAGTTCCGCACGGCAGTTTTGGTGAACACAGATGCCCATGGCTGGTTGATCTGGCATGTCGGAGATGAGAACGAAAGGAGTAACCCCGATACAATCAATATCCCAGCCGACCCGGCCCGATCTGCCCAAAGAGACCAGATCTTGGTATTTAAGGACAAATTGGCCGCCATGGGCAAAGAGGACCTTTTCTACCGGTGGGTTGAGTTGGTCCAATACGAGAGTACGCAGCCGGGCGGGTTCACGCCGGAAAGGCAAAAGTCTGCCATGCTTCAGGTAAAGCAGCTCTTCGAAGAAAACGATGTCGATTTCTCCAAGTTCTGGGAGGATGTGGGTGGATTGGAGGAGTTCACCGAGCAGCTTGATTAGTGACTGCATCTCCGCTTCGTATATGTATCTCTCTTCCATGCCATCCCTGTCTATCCAATCTATTACAGAGATCTTGAGGAAGTCAGGCGTTTGAAATCGCTCGAAGTGTGCGATTCGACTCACCTCTTCGAATCCCCTTCCGCTCCATGAGATGAGCCGAACTGCGGGTGCCAGCCTGCTTATACGTCTATAATGCACCGGCGAACGCCTGCGAGGAGTGCCAATAAGAACACAGGCAAGGACAATACCTACGGCAAACTCTCTACGGCAATAGAGGACGCAGGCTTCCGGTGACACTGCTCTGATAGCGGGAGATTCGTATCACCCTGATAATCGGTTCCTTCTTGCTTTTCTCTCAACTCCGTCAATCGACTCTTGGCAGCCGCCAACTCCACTAGACTATTGGTGCCAGAAAAATCTACCCAAGACGATCGCGTAGGAGTATCCGAACGGACGGGAATCCCGCCTCCGCCCATAACTGGGCACCGGGCTTGGTACCTTGCAGCTGACTACAGCGACGGGCGCCGCGGAAACAAAGTGGGATTAGCCTGCGTTAATTTGCAGGAGGATGGCTGATGACCTTTCTGGTGGTGGTGGAATTGTTCTATAGATTGAGGTCTTGTCTCCAGAATGTATGTTGTATACTGTGTATTAAGGCTGCGTATGCTCTTGAAGAGCGAAGGTACTGCTTAATAGACTATTTCAAAAGAAAAAAAAAAAAAAAAAAAAAAAAAAAATTGAGCTCCACGCATGTTCTTCAAATTATCGGGACATATTAGCAACAAGAATCCTCCTGTTAGCTCGAGAGTAGCATATACCATATCTATGGAAGTCAGTAGCACAAATACAGCACAATACCACCTTCTGTCCATCGTCCGGCTGACGGCTTGGGCTTGAGCCGTCATCACTATCATTTTGCGTCTCTGTGGATTCTCTTCCATGATTCTTATTGATTGGTTTCTTACTTTCCGTGTTCTGCTTTCTCAACCTCTTCCAACGCCTTCCGTATCATCTCCTGCGTACTTTCCCTAGGAAACTCCCGCTGTGCCGTCTTCAATCTATCTTTCCAGAGGCACCATCTATCCATGTGCATATCTCGACGCGGTGTTTGGTCCTCATCCCCAAAGAGCCGTCCAACCTGACAGTTCTCCCATACGCGCTGACCGGCGTATATATACCAGATACATGCAGTACGTACAGCCTCCTCTACTGATCGACATGAATAGAATGCATACAAAGATGCGTCTAAATGATGGCAGAGGTGCTCTACTCTCCTCGTAAGGTGCGCCATGAAGGCATTCCGGTTCTCCCATTCCTGAAGGTCACTTGGAGGATACTCCTTCTGGGGATCCTCATCTATCTGGCGGGCATATTCTGACAGATTTAGCCGCGGAATCAAACAACAAAATGAGTAAGGGGTGTAGGGGTGATATACCAGGCTTGAAATTGAAATGATAGCAATCAGTCGAATATAGGCTGAGGTATGGAACCTCAGTTCATATCCTTTGATCAAAGGCTGTTGGCTCTTCGCCTGTGGCAGGATCAATAACCTCGGTACGGTGCAGCTCGAAAATAAAGTCGATGAGTTTGTCCTGCAGTTCTGCTGGAGTGATGTTGGCGGTGTCCACAACTTCGGTCATGGCATACCACGTATGATTACCATCGATATCAGACGCGGATTCGGATTCCTGTCTCCCCAGCTGTAAGACCTCGCGAGCGCGAAGGAGATTCTGGACTGCCTCGGCGGGAGAGACAGCAGGGTTTTGAACTAGCTCATCGATGACTGGGTATTCCGGTCGCGGAATCATCTCTCTCTTGGGGCCTGCCATGGGGAGGAGTGGTGTGGGAGTTGGGGGGTTGAGTTGGGAGGCTGAAAGAAACAAGTAAGGGTTCCAGGCATGACTTGAGCGGTTTAAATAAAGGGCGTTCGGACTGTGTAGAAGCGGCCAGTACTCAGAACTGTTCAGCCAACAACTATATCCAACACGCCACCTTCGCCGTCCAGCAAAAGAGCATGGACTGTAAGGCAGCCCCACTTTACGGAAAACAAGTCTCTTCATCTGACAGGTGAGTTTCTTATCCTAAGGAGTAAGGATGCTGACATGATGCGACGGAGGTGCCGCTGGCCTGTAACTTAGCTACAGCCTCGAAGATCACCCGGCCCCCATTTTTCTTGTGGACCAAGTCGCTCTGCTCATCTATGAAGAGTGAAATAATAGCACGAGATACTATACGACCCGATCGATACGGGCTCATCATTTAGAACTCTTGTCTATGAGATCTTCGCCAATGCACTCAAGTACCCTGAGATGGCAGCCAATTAGCATCTTTGGACTTATTATGATTTAACACACCCGCAAGGCTGTACACAGTGATAGCTAGAGGGATTCGAAGCACTAAAACCAAAATAGAAAGCACTGAACAATAACATCTTAATCGCTGACCCTGAACTCAAAGAGACAGAAAATCAAATATCAATCGCTCAACCGCAGAATCATGACACCTGGTGACCTCCCTCCGCGCCATATGCTAAAACAAACAAAGCAGATCATAAAAAGACAATGGTAATGACATCACAAAAATTACTTTGCTTCTACCTGCCTCACACCCACCTGCAACATCTTAAATCCCCACTGCTGCATCTTGAACTGATCAAACACACCATAGGGATCCAAGAACACCTTCGGGCTCTGCATCTGGCCTGCGATGCCCTGCCATCGAACCTTCTCATGTCCGAACGTCTCCCAATCCGTGTGAAGAATGACAGCACTGCATCCCGCGCATGCCGCCTCCACTGATTCAGCCACTGTGACCGTCTCAAGAGACGCATTGCTCGCACGCAGCGTATTCTCCAACTGGCCTGCGGGTATAAATGGGTCATAAATTCCCACTTTTACCCCATTCCTCGACAAGTCCCGGACCAGACCCAGCGCTACAGAATACTGATTGTTGTTCTCCTTTGGGGTGAACCCCAGGATCGCAATCTTCTGCTCTGTGAGATCGCCGGATAACTGCGACAGGACGCGTTGGGAGATCCGTCGATTGTGAGAATCGTTCATGCGCAGGACAGCGCGCCAGTACTCTGCCACTTGCTGCAGTCCTAGCTCTCGGGCCAGATAGACTAGGCAGAGAACCTCGGTCTGCAGGTGCGAGCTGCCGAATCCAAAGCCGACTCGTTGCGGTAGCCCCAGGGTCTGGGTTATGTGGTTGATGTTGGCGTTGGTGGATTCGCAGATAGCGCTGAGCGAGTGAAGACTGCTGATTTGTTGGGCGAGGAATGCGTTCGCGGCTATCTTGCCCAGTTCTGAAGACCATGCGTCCATTGTGATGATGCGCTCTTCTGAAACCCATGGGATATAAAGCTTCTTTAGTGCACTTAATGCTCCAGGGGACATATCTTCCGAGAATATGTGCCCGATGATAATGCGGGGAGGGTAAAGGAGGTCATGAAGGGCTGTGCCTGGAACTAGAAAGTCGGGGTTGGATAGCACATCGAATGAAGCGGATGGAGATGCGGTTTTTCGCAACTGCGTTCGTTAGACTCTTATTGCTATCTTGGGGATGGGCACTCACAATCTTCTTCATTCGCTGAACGACACCACATGGCGCTGTGCTTTTTTGCACGATAATCTTGTGGCCAGTTGATACTTGAGCAATCGCTCGAATTGCAGACTCCAATTGCGACAGATCTAAGCGCTCCTTTTCGTCAATCTGTACCAATTATCAGCCTTGTCTTCCATTTGTAAGCGGGCATCTTACTGTTATAGTCGAGCTTATCTCCGAACATAGGAAGATCAGATCTGCTGCGGCCACGCCAGCGTGGATGTTTGTAGAAAATGTCAAGTTGGTCAGTTTCCTCTTTCGAGTCTGACAACTATCTGGAGCTATAGACTGATTAGGGATAGCCGACGCATCCAGAGTGAGGCTTGATATTTCCTCAAACAACATCTCCTCCAGCCCAGGCTCAAACACTGGGGGGCGAACGGAGTTCCACGCATCAATGAGACCCGCATCATTGTCAACGACACTGAACTGGATGTGGGGATTCTGAGAAGCGAGTACAACCGCCGTCAATGCACCTGGCCAACATTAGCTATTCTTCTTCTAAGATACTGGACTGGAAGGTAAAAGCAGCGCGCTTACCCACATGTCCAGCGCCAATGATACAAGCACTCCGAACATCTTCAACTTTCTTACTCTCCAACGGCTGAAGCTCGGTCTCATCCACACTATCAGAGTAGGTATGACCCTTCACGACAACCGGCGGCTCAGCAGCTTCGATGGTCTTATAGCGACGTCGCGAAAAAAACAAAGTTATACTCGCCAGGACGAAGAGTAGTGGAAAGAATGGCATCATGGCGGCACATCCGTATCATCAACTCTAACCAACTAAGTAACTGACCACCCTCTCTCTCTTTCTCTCCCTACTCTCTTTTTCTTTCTCACCCCTTAACCACCGACCGAAACACATGTTCAACAAGAATTAAAACAAAGAGACAGCGAGCGAACGCGTTGTGGGTGGTTTGGGCGTGTCGTGGCCAAAAGGGCGGTCTGGTCGCAAAACTAGCCACTTCATCGCGAGCCATCATTGCCCCGAAAAAATATCCGAATGGATATACGGTCGTGCCATTGGACATGGAGGTTGTGTCCATCTACGTGGACGTGCTCGTGGCGTAACTCGAATCCACTCTGACTACCACTACTGAATTGCATTCCACATTTGATTGGAACAGCGGGTCTGGATGATGATTGATTTACCTGGACCCACTCACTCATTGAGGTGCTGTCCTATTTTAGAAAGGTAGCAGCCTCACTTTGTTTCTTCTTGGCAATACGAGTTCATGTCAGTAAACTATTTTTAGTTAGTATGGATTGCATTTGCATGCGCTGAGTCTGAGTTCCAGGAAGATATTGTTGTTGTTCTTGATGCACAATTTTTAATGACAATTATCAGACAGCGGGTTCGACGTGCATTGCGAACAACGTGGGACTGGACTGCATGAGACGTGACAGTGACATACGTCACCAAAATATGAAAATGATGTGAATTTTAACATGGGGCTATCAGAGTGAAGAAGGAACAACATACAGTGACCGGGATTAGGATGCAGATGTGCTGTGTACTAAATACAGGAGATATGGATTAGTTGGATTGGTTGGCAGGAGCAAGAATGACTGCTATCGAGCTACAGTATCTCCCTATCCGTGATTTTACTGTGTTTTAGGGCTCCATTGGATGTCAGTACGGAACTTGACTGATAAAACAAGACCGTGAGAATAGTACTTTTATACCTGCCTGGAAACTCTGCGGAAGCCAAATATATTACTTTATACAATCACAGCACCCCCACAACAGGTGCGGGTAATCTTATCCAGCCTTATCCAGACGACCAGAATTGATCGGACCCTCACATATTCCTCGGTCGCCTTATCATTGGTCTGATGGACAAATCCAGTTAGTTATATAAAGCATACTTACTAAACTCATGATATCTCTTGCAGGCTTCTGGGGCCATCAAAAAGACCGTAATGTCTATACCTGAGGGGCTCCAGTTATTATCACTATGTCATAACTCTTATCTTTGGATTATCAACAATGCCAAGACTCGATCGGATCCGGACTAACGCTGATCCGGAGAGTAACCAATCGAACTACTCTCTCCTTTCCTTGGATGTACAAATACGATATAAAGTTATACTTAATACCTACAGACTCTCCCCGGCAGTGCCATGTTCCGGCTAGCTTGCAGGACAAGGCCATTGAGGTCTTCGAACCTCCTTCGCGCCACGCGCTCCGTCTCATCCGTTGCGCCGCCGTTAATTCGGATCCAGAATGCCACATTCTACGAGAACTATCCTACTCCCGAAGATGCCGCCAAAGGCCGCAATCCTCCCCTCTTTCCCGACTTTAACTTCGTTTTACCCGCCAACACCACACTCGCCGGGGACAAGGGGGGTGACGCTCCGCAGACGTGGGCGGTGATTGGCTCCGGGGGAAGAACGCAGATGCTCGACGTCCTCCGTGGTCAATACATTTGCACACCGCCCACGGCGCGCAGTTATCCGTACCTCCTCAGCGACGAGATCGCCCAGAAAGATCACCGCCTACGGTTTGCGGGGAACGCAATACAATATATCGGATTCAGTGGGGAAGGTTCCGGCGCCATTGGAGGCACTCGCGGCGCCTATCTGAGTGCCCGATATGAGAGTCTCCGCGAGGAGACCGACTGGTCAGTCCGCCAATATCTCAAAGGCCAGACTTCCCTGAACCCGTTGGAATCCGAGCAGGATGGAAAGATACACGATGAGCAGCTGTTAGCACAGATCGTTTCCGAGCTCCGGCTGGAGGAGTTACTCGATATGCCGGTTGCCAACCTGAGCAATGGTCAGACTAGACGGACTCGGATTGCCAAGGCCCTCCTCAGCAAGCCGGAATTGCTCCTCCTTGATGATCCCTTCATGGGCCTTGATCCCGCTACCGTCAGAAGCATCTCAAGCCTCCTCCAGCGCCTGGCGGCCAAGTCGGATCCCCGACTGGTTCTCGCGCTCCGGCCTCAAGACCCCCTGCCCGACTGGATCACACATATCATGGTGCTGGGGAACTCTCACCGGGTTCTGCTCCAAGCTCCCCGCGCGGAGGCGGAGAAGGTGTTCAACGTATGGAAGAAACTAGGCAGTTATGAGAAGCCTACCGCCAAGGAGAACCAGTGGGTCCACCAGACGTACGAACAGGCCAAGGAATCCATCGATGCGGGCTATCTTGATCGGCAATTGATATGGGACATGCGACTAGCTCCCCCACAAGGAAAGGGTCGCGCTGCCCCATCCTTCCCTATCAAGGGCGGTGAACCACTGATTGAAATGGACGGCGTCCGTGTACAATACGGTGACAAATGCGTCCTGGGCGACTGGACCCAGCACGTGCACAACAAACCACAATCTGGCCTGCACTGGACAGTCCGGCGCGGGCAACGCTGGGCTGTGCTAGGTGCCAACGGCTCCGGCAAAACCACTCTTCTCTCTCTCATCACCTCGGACCATCCCCAAACCTACGCTCTTCCTATCCGCCTCTTCGGCCGCACCCGACTCCCCGAAGCCGGGAAACCAGGCCTCTCGATCTTCGAGCTCCAATCCCGCCTCGGCCACTCATCCCCTGAAATCCACGCCTTCTTCCCCCGTCAACTGACCATCCGCCAAGCCATTGAATCCGCTTTCGCGGAAACCTTCCTCGCTAAACCCACCCTCAATCACGATCGTGACCTAGACGTCAGCGCCATCCTCCGCTTCTTCCGCGCCGAACTCGACCCCGATGTCTCCAGCATCTCCCAAAAACCCACCAAAGTCACCACTCCCCGCGATCTCTTCCCCAGCCTCGTCAAATCCGACACCGACTTCTACAACCCCGACCACGGAGTCGAGTACGCCGACACAGTTCGCTTCGCTGAATTGAGCACTGCTCAGCAGCGCCTCGTCCTCTTTCTCCGCGCTCTCGTTCACCGACCCGATATCGTTATCCTAGACGAAGCCTTCTCCGGCATGCCTGCCTCCATCCGAGACAAGTGTCTAAACTTCATCGACCACGGCGAATTCGTCACTAAGCGGGTGACCAAAGTCCACCCTGCCCCCGAGGATGCTCGCTTCCGTGGCCTCACGGACGATCAAGCTCTGGTCATGATTTCCCATGTGAAGGAGGAGATTCCTTCCAGTGTGCGCTATTTCATGCGCCTGCCTTCCGATGCGGGGGAGCCGTTGGATTTCAAATTCGGCACCCTAAAGCCGGGAAGTACTCTGAGTGAGCCTGCAGTTTGGGATAAGGCCTGGGCGGCGGATTTCCAAGAAGGTGCGGTGCGTGCTGGGGTTGAGAGTGTGCCGGAAGGGGAGACTGTGCGGGAGGATTTTGAAAAGTTTGAGTGGTATTCTATATGATCGGTGGGAGAGTAGAAGTAGTATATGTATATATTTACTTATTCATGTACAAGACATAGATTTTGATACAAGAGAGCCTCTCTAGTTCTCGAGTTGGTATACCTCTTCCAGCGAGAGGGGGGGAATTTTTGGAAGAGGGAACTCGCAGCGATTGGCCCGAGCGAGCTGAGGTGGCCTACTACTGCTTACTACTGGTAGTTAAGGAAGCCTAGTATACTACTACCACATAGCGCATGTTGCTCGTTTGGCTGCTGCTTGAGGAAGGAAAGTCAGAAAGAAAGGGTAAGCCTCAGACCTCCGACGTAGGCAAGTGTTCAAGATTATGTCTTGGCCATAGCCATATAGTTCTGCCGGGTGGCAGCGATAGACGTACGAAGACGGTGCTCAATTGTAGTAAAAGATACCACCTTTTGTTTTTCTAGTTCATGATGCCACCCTGCACCCTACTATCTACTAAGATACTGGATAGGGTATGCAGTCCCGCCGGATAATCCGCCGTCCCGACCCGGTCCCGCATTCTGCTGCCTTATGATCGCCTCCGGCAGAAGTTGCCGTTTTGTTCCGGTTCACGCCAAACTTCGCCGCTCTGCTGGAAGGTAGATTGCTAGTAATCTACTTAACCTAATTACTACTCACTAACTGTTGCTACTGACGATTCTCACTGGCATCTCGCGCCATCTCCCCTTTCCTTCATCATGCCGTGATTGATCGTATGCCCGATCGTCCTCTTCCCCTTTTTGTTTCTGAAAGTGAAATTTCAACCATACGGAGAATTCTGCCCCTCTAACCGCTGATCCGACCTGTCATATCGCATATCGTGCAGATAATCAATCGTGCAGCGACGGGATCCTTCCTCCCCTCCCCCCTCATCATGGACCCCGCCATCCTGCGTGAGGTCTCCCGTGTCGACCCTGCGGTTCCTTTTCGCGCAACCACCCATCATCTCCATCATACTTGGGCGCAGACCTTCTACTCGCGTCCCGAACTTTACGTACGCCCGCAATCTATCGAGGAAATTCGGAAGCTCGTCAACCTCGCTCGCCACTGTCGCCGTCGTCTAGTCACCGTGGGGAGTGGCCACTCCCCCTCTGATTTGACCTGCACCTCCGCCTGGCTGATAAACTTGGATGATTTCAATCGCGTGTTGGAAGTTTCGCCGGAGACCGGGGTGGTGACGGTCCAGGCGGGAATTCGGTTGAGAGACTTGGGCACACAGCTGGAGCAACATGGTTTGATGTTGTCTAACTTGGGTAGTATTGATGAACAGTCGGTCGCCGGCGTGATCTCCACGGGTACCCATGGAAGTTCTCTCCAGCATGGCTTGATCTCCGAGTGTATCCTATCACTGACTCTCATGCTGGCTAATGGGCAGCTGGTGCGGTGTAGCGCGACCAGTAACCCGTCGCTCTTCCGGGCTGCGCTCATCTCTCTGGGTGCACTTGGTATCATTGTCGAGGTCACGCTGCAGGCGGAGCCCGCGTTCAAGGTGGCCTGGCGACAGACGCGGCGTAAACTGTCGAGTGTGTTGGCCCAATGGTCATCCGGACTGTGGACTTCGCATGAATTTGTTCGAGTATGGTGGATGCCCTATGAGAAGAGTGCCGTTGTCTGGCACGCCGATAAAACCGACCTCCCGCTGCGGGAACCGCCCAAGTCCTTTTATGGAGAGACACTCGGTTACCATATCTATCATAATCTGCTGGCCCTGGCCAACTATTTCCCTCGTATTCTCCCGTGGGTGGAATGGCTGGTCTTTGGTTTGCAGTATGGTTTCAAACCGGAAGCCATCGTGACAGAGGCGGTAGAACCAGCCCGCTCAGGTCTCCTCATGAATTGTCTGTACTCGCAGTTTGTCAATGAATGGGCACTCCCGCTCGAGAAGGGCCCCGAAGCTATCACTCGTCTCTCCGCCTGGCTGAATGGCGATCACGAAACAGCGCGTATCCCTTTTTCCGTCGACGGTCTGTGGGTGCATTGCCCCATTGAAGTCAGAGTCGCGGACTCTACCTACAACAAGACAATCCGTCCGTTCCTCGATCCTACCTCTTCCAGCGGCCCGACCCTGTATCTCAATGCGACGCTCTATCGCCCGTACCATCGGGATCCCCCTTGCACGGAACGATATTACGAGGCATTTGAGTGGCTTATGCGCGAAATGGGTGCAAGACCGCATTGGGCTAAGAATTTCCGGACGACAAGGGAGGAGCTGAAATGTCTCTATGGAGATGACATGACGGAATGGTTAAAGGTCCGCCAGGATGTGGACCCCGACGGCATGTTCCTTGGTGAATGGCATTACCGAACCCTCCCCTTGCCAGGGAGTGGGGACGAGTCGAATGCATCAGGGCCGGCCGACCTTCCGCTCCTCGAACGCGAAAAGACTCGTCGGAAGGCAAACATCCAGGGATCCGGTGACGGCGTCGAGTGGATTGGACACAAACAATGGCAAGGGAATCAGGGCCGTCAAACTGCGATGTTCGTGTCCACGCTAGACAACGAAAAGATTCATGTTTCGTCTGAGGGCACTAGTCTCAGTCCTCCCACAACAGCAACCAGCGAAGAGAGCTTCGATTTTCTGGCGGCAGGAGAGGCCAGTGTTGTCCTTCCCTGAATCTGGTGCGTGAGGGACTGATAGATTCGTGACAAGGAGGTTTGGCAAGTAGCAACAAAGTAACCGGTCGCGCCCCTTCCGCTTTTGTGGATTGTCGGTTGGAATTGCCGACTCGGTGATTTTTCGAAAGACTCTGTACTTTATTGCCTCACTGTTCCGTTATCTTGCTCTTTCTTTAAAATCACTTTTCATCCCTACATAATATCTCCGTCAATACTCTATCATACAAGTCATTTAGCAACAGCACTGACCCTGGTTCTGGACAGGCAATAGCCTACTATCAGTCTACCAAGGGAAAATCCGCGACAGATTCTCTACTGATATAATATGAATTCCTAGCGCTACAGACAGCCAGAAACCGTCTAGTCTAAATGAAAAACAGAATATCCAGGCTTGCAAAATGCTTCCACAGAATGACAAAATAACGAACGCCACAATATCAAATAACCGATAGACTTACACCACCGTACCTGCAGCGCGCAAGGCATCCGTCTAGTCGAAAAGCTTTGTCATGAACTGATGAGCCAGCTCAACACCCGCACTGTTCGGCATATTAGCAACGACAGCCCAGAACATGTCAGGGTTAGAATAACATACAAAGTAGCAGCATTGGCAGGAACGGCTCTTGCCAAAGCAGGTCCAAATCCAGGGAAGAAAGCCTTGAAGCCACCGCTGGCATAGACGGTGCGAATCGTACCGCCGATTGTGGGACGACCAGGCGCGCTCTGCAGACGAGACTTGATGGTATCGACGGGGAAGACAGGGATCCACATGGCAATACCAGCAGCGCCACCGGCAGCCAGGACGGCAGGCATGGACAGCTGGCCAGTGACATTTCCTTCCGCATCCTTGGGAGTCAAAGTGCGCTTGATGTACTCGTAGGCGGCGAAGTACGCAGCAGAACCAGGGCCGTCACGAGCGAGGGTCATTGCACTACCACGGAACACACTGCGAATACCACCCTCCTGGTATAGCTGCCGGACCACATCCAGACCGCCAGAGTATTTGGGCTTCTGACCGGGAGGCGGGGGGTTCTGACCCTGGATCTGAAGGAGCACCTTGACGCGCTCGAAGGGTGCCGTGATCAAGGTCATGGGAATGGCAGAGAAGAAACCAGCAGCTGAAATCTGGCCAATGGTGTATTGAGGGGTGTTGTTCTCTACGCGAACTTCGGACATCTTGCCGACGAGCGTTTTACCCACATCATAACCCTACCAGCTGTCAGCCGTCTGCGCCAAAGGGGGATTGATCACATTCTGTAAACTCGTAGACATACCCAGAAACTGACAGCGACTGCAATACACGCGAGTTGTTAGTATGTGCGATGGGAGTCACAGAGAAGAGAAGCTTACACATTGGCGTAACTCCCACCAGGGGAGCAGAGACACCTGCATAAAGACCCTATTCCGACGATCAGCAACTGCGCCCAACACCAGCTATCAAGATAACTTACACGAGCAAGACCCTCCCGGGCCACAGTCCTCTTCACGACATCGATAGCACCAGAGTAAACGCCCTTCTCTGCCGTCTGAAGGCGCACCTTCACCAGATCGAAAGGATGTCCAACAACAACGGCGCACACACCACCGGCAGCACCAGCAGCAAGCGAGCGGATCTGAGCAATAGTCTGATTAACGGGCTTGGGCTCCGGAACTCTGACTTCCTCTGGAATTGATTCAGCGGCGGACGGAGAAGCGGTCATGGTGGTGGCTGGCGCGGATGAGCGGGGAGAATAAGAAGTGGGGAGAAGGGAGCGGGGAGGAGGCTGGAGTCGTGTCTTCTTGGGCGCTGTAGCAGGAGAAGCAAAAAGCGGCTGCTTTGAGTGAGAAGTGTAGTTATAGATAGGATAGTTTACAAAGAAGTTGCATACACGGATTAAAAGCAAAGGGGAAATTAGGGGAAAAAAAGAAGAAAGCTCTCGATGATTGTCGCGCGACGGTCACGCTCTCCATCCGGCCGACCAGCATGGCAATCCATACCCCGGACCTCGGCTCGGTACGGATCAAATATTTATCCGAGATAGGCACGTCCCCCGGGGTTGGAGGATACGACGTAGATATGGCTACGAAATACTGGTCTGGTACGTACCTTAAGTAGGTTGGTCGGGCGCCCGGAACTTAATGCGACGGTTTGCGGTTGACTGGAGATGGAGAATGGTTGGATAGGTTCCTAATGAGCTCGTGCACGTGATATTCTTGCAGCTGATACTGAATAATGAGCTCAAACATGTGACTACTTACTATCTCTGATAGGAAATTATCTCTGCACGTGATACAATATAGGCTTACCACGAAATAAAAAGCAAATGAATGAAGAAACAAAGTATGTAGAAAGCAAGATGACGAAGAGCGGAATGAGGGTACTGACTCGCAAACAACTATTCTGCCAGTTATGACATTTGTCTGAATGTGAAGCTGTAGGGAACCTTTCTAGGGGCAAAACTTCAAAACAGGACCATAAGGCCATCGTTACCAGCAGATACTCTGTGGACCCTTAGAATCCCCTATATACTCAAATACACATGGGAGGAGGCGGGTAATACCAATCGTTGTAAGGATTCAGTTCCTTACAGAAGCAACTGCATAGTTAGCATCTTAGAGTATTGCGGGCTCGATCAGGCATAAGAAAAAGAATTGAATGGGATGGAGTTCGATTGAGCTTAAAATGGCTTCTCTACACCAGATTGCGTCATAAATCTATGAGCTTCATCTGAAAACGCTATATCTTATCAATATAAGTATAAAGTAGACTAACATTTACGGTAATACAAAGAGTATGTAAATAATAGACGGAGATCATTCTTGATTGGCCAAGTTTCATAGTCCAGAAATGAAATACAAAGTACTATGATGTAAATATCACAGAAAGCTTGTACATTCATGTAGATAAAAAATAATAAACTTAAGTTCAGAAAACTGACAAAGTAAAGAAATCATCTACAGTGACAAACCAGCCATTCTATACACAAAGTAGGTATTCTTCTCGTCTTTCTTATCTTTTGGACTGGACTGAGTCACGTGAGCATAGTAATAAGGCATCCGAGGCTTAAGAAGAAGAGAACGGGCCCAGTCAGGTGACTCCGGAAAAGGGCACCTTCTCCGGGCATCATTTTGAGTCACCGGGACTATCTGATAACTAATCGGAGATAATAAATGAGTCTTATTCAGTCTTTTGCTGAAGAAATTCTACGAGAGTTCGGATCGAACAATTAATCTAACAGCCGATTGGGACTGTCGAAGCCCTTCCCAGCACGAACAGGAAGCAGAGCTAGTCGGGATCACAATGTGCGATTCCCACCACTAATTGTAGGGAGCCGTGGGCGTTATCGCGTACAATCTCAACCATGAGCAAGCGTCCTCATCCAGGGTCCCCACCACGCCCTGCCTCCCAGTCCCCCGATCTGGTGGATCACACACCCCAGGGCCTCTCGCCGGGGGATTCAGAGCAGCAGCATCATGCATCCGGGCCTAGCAAAAAGCCCCGAAACTTTATAGCCACAGTGGTTGGTGCTTCCCCATTACCAGTAATGTGCGCGATAGTAGTAGTAACCACTTCTTTTAGGCATGTGAGAATTGCAGGCTTAAGAAGACGCGATGTGATGAATCGCGACCGAAGTGCGGCTTGTGTAAGTCGCTGAACCTCGAGTGTGTCTACAATGAGCGCAAGACCTCCAAGTAAGGCCGAGTCACTTTCACCAGTCCCTATTTTCACTGTTGCTAATGCTTAGAGTAGACGAGATCATTCTCTCAGCTTGATAATGAGCACGTTGCATCGACTGGAAACCAAGCTGGAAAATGTTCCCACGACCATTTCTAAGGAAATTCAATCCCTTCGGGGTCAGATGCCCCGTAGTTTGGATGGCACGGAGACGATAGGCTCGCTCGCGCATCATTCTCGCAACACGAGCAGCTTGGGTAGGTTGGAACGCTTGACCTCTCAGGCTCTCACGCCAGAGGCAATGAGACTGAACGAAGTGGAGCATGACGACCAACACCTGCATCCCAATCCGACGGAGGCAAACGGATTAGTCTCGATTTCATTCAGCCAGCATGGAGTGATCTCCTGGGCAGGTGCTCAGGAGATTCTTCCACAACGGTTACTTGAAGCACACGAGAAACTGGGCAAAAATTATGTGATTGACATTGAAATGAAGCGCCCTCAATTGCCCATGTACATCTGCCCTTTCCCAGCGCAGGCCGGGGACAACTGGTTGAACGCACTTCCGCTGGCCATGGTCAAAGGCCTTTCGGACGCATTCTTCACTACTTTCAACCTGTTCACACCTTTAATCGACAAGAACTATTACTATGCTTTCACCCTGGGCGCGGCTATTGAGAGCAACTTTGGCTACAACATCGAGAGCTGTGTGGTTCTCAATATCATGGCGCTGGGCTGTATCGCTGTCCACGCCTACCAGGAAGGGGATTTCCCATTACTAGGGACACGCAGTGGTCGTTTCGAGCCTCCTGACTGGATGGGGGTGGTCTACGAGAATCCCCCGGGATTGCGCTTCTTCAACACTGCTCGCCAGCGCATTGGATTTCTGATGTGTGACAACAATCTCCAAAGCTGCCAATTTTACCTCTTGTCATTGTAAGGCTTTCCGCTCGAATATCCTTGATGGCATGCTAACTTTGTAAAGCATCTACTACAGTCAAATTCTTCGCCCCATGGATTCGTGGGCCATGATCCATCGAGCGGCCACTTGCTGTCTGTCCATGCTCACCAAGTAAGTCATCCATGGCTATCATTGCATAACTGGTTCTCGCAAAACTGACACTACTCCAGTCATGATGTACATTTCGATGAGTGGGAAGGCGATATGAAATCTCGAGTGTATTGGAACTGCCTAATGAATGAAACCATTCTGGTCCAAGAACTACACGTCCCGCCCAGCGGTCTCTCCCGACTCGAAGAATACGTCCCAATTCCCAAGTTCATCACCTTCGAAAGCGTGGGCTTTCCAGCTTCTCGGTCACTCTCATTAGAAGAGATAGACGATTCGTTTTTCCAATATCATTTCCTCGCGCAGGTCGCCCATCGAATCATCCTAACCCGCATCCGACACTCGCTCTACTTCCATTGTGAGTTAACCCTACCCTCATCCTGCCATATCCATCAAACTAACCTTTCGTCCCTACCAGCCGACTCCGGCACATTCCCCCACCCAGCAGTCAATGCTGAACTCCGTCACCAGCTAGAACAATGGCGTATCAACCTCCCCGCCGCCCTCCAATTTCCCGACC